TGATGCCTGCTCCTTTACCTGCTCCCAGCCCATCACTGGAACCCATGTCCATGCCCATGATGTTGCACAGCGTGGGCCCCCCATCACCCACGCAGGCGGACGCAACTACGCCACAGGCCATCGCTAACAAGTTGCGCGACAGGTAATAGCCAGCCACTGCGGCACAGAAGCTGTTGCTTTGTTCAGCCAATGCCAGAAATGTGGTGTCCTGAGTGATGAAAGTTCAACCAACAAATCAACTCTAATCATCATTTTTTAATTTCCACACTGATGCTGTTCACATTGTTGACCAGATCAGAAATTATTAAAGTGATGAATATTTTATGTAACGAATGTGCATTTAAAAGCTTGATTGTGATTTCTCATGTTGTCTTGTAGACAGTTACCAGTGTTTTGTTGGAACGTACTGCTCCCATCTTCAGTCTTCGCTTGAGAGTTTTCTTTTGGGGAGAACAAATATTAACTTTAAACCAAAGACACAGGAAATGCTATTGGATGCATCGCTTGTGCTTGTCAAATGGAAGGTCTTTTTCACTAAATTTATGTTGTTTCGAAGAATCAGATGCATAAAATGGGAGCTTTCTTTTAATTCAGAGGATATGTTTCATAATCATTGCATTTTTAAACTGACATGTAATTTAATTAAAATTGCTTTCATTTTGTTATTAAGAGGAAAGTTTGAGACTCCTTGTGGTCTCGTAGGGTACTGAACGAAGGTCATGTGATGGTGGTTGATTCAGTTGCCTAGCCTGCAGATTAACAAGTATGGCAAAGAGATTGTGATTTGCTCTAAGGAATTGTGATGTTACAGGTTGGCAAGCCTACGGGATCTTCAGCGTCGTCAGCAGACGGACCTGACCCGCGTGGCCGACGAGCTGGCGTCGACCAAGGCAGAACGTGAACACTTGGAGATGGAGCAACCTGTGCTGGCCCAGAAGTTTCGCTATTACCAAGAGTTGCGTGGGTATGTGACAGACTTGGTAGAGTGTCTAGATGAGAAGGTGGGTTCCTACATCACAATAACTACCAGGGGGGCATTGGGGAGGATCTAGACAGTTGGTAGCCACACTTGTCAGCTTGTAAATTGTGACATGTCAGAATTTCATTTGTCAGAGCACAAAGTTATAAACCGCATTGAACTGTCTAAAGTGTCAACACATTCTGAGATTAGATTTGTCCCGGTGATTCGATCCTATCGCAACAAACGTCGAGATACGAAAGGTTTATCGAGGTAAAACATATAGACTGTGGAATTAGATGTAAGTGCACTCAAACATGCAGACCAAAACTCCAGAAATTTTATTGACCAATTGAATCCATTGCCCTTCACAGATCTGGTAAGAAAAGGAAATGTGATAAAAATTCAAAAAAATTGTAATCATTGTTGCTCTGCTAATGCGCGGCCTGTGGACCAGCGTGGTTATCAGAACTGGCGCTGCGTCACGTCGGGCCGTCCCCCCCTCTGTAACTGAGGTCGCTAGATCTTCTCTGTATCAAGTGGGTGGGTTCAAGTCCCACTGAAAGTCTGGTTGCTTGATGTTCATCTTGTGTGCTTTTGAGTTGCAGTGTTTGAGGCCGCTAAAGGGGAAGGTGTTGTCTAAAGTCTGGCACTTGCTGGAATGAGGGCTGATCATGGTGGTCACTGGGTGGGAGTGGGGGGGAGTCCTTGTTCTTGCAGTAATGGCAAGGCCAATAAGTATACTTGAAAGTGAGTGGCTGTTGTGCGAAGATGCATACTGTGCTATTAATGAATCATTTCTTTACTGATTAGTAGTTGTACAAATGTACCTTCATCATTCTGTCATCCTGTCTGCACTAAACATCTGAGGTTACAAGCTTAGGAGGTGCAAGTCAAAACTTCATTTTGGCTCACATAGGTCAATAGATGGCGGTGGAATTTATGCACACATTTATTTGCCTGATACATTTAGTTAATCTGCGACATATTTGATCAATGTTGCCTGCCAGATATTTTGACAACACTGGGAACTGTTCTGTTTGCTGTCTTATTGCTGCTTGTTCATGGACAGGTATTTGTCATGCCCCCCCCCTTCTTGTCCTGTATTTACAGGAGTACCACAGTCTTCTACTTGGGAGAGGTATTTCGTATTAGCAATGTGACTTTCATCTTGGGGTATGAGACGTTATTTGGGGCGCTGGCAGTTATTCCGCTCAGAGATCTGTGCTGTACCTTGCTGATATGGCAGATGTAATCTGTGTGAAATAAAACCATACCACCTCACATCTGGCATGTGGTATTGGGATAAATATACATCACCCGCTCCGTCTCTGTTGTGATGGGGCGGTCGTATCTGCAAAATGTGATGGTGTCGGTTTGTTTGGTCCTGCAGGTGCCCGTTATCGCAGCTCTGGAGCAGCGCATGCTGAGCCTCTTGAAGCGGCGGGCGGACGAGCTGATGGAGCGACGACGTCAGGATGTGCGGGATCAGGCGGAGGAGCTTGCACCCTCCACGGCAGTCAGTCAGTATCTGGGACTATGCAGCGAACTAAATAAAACTGAGGGGGCGTGGTGTGTTTGCCCCTGCTGGGCTCTGTTTAACCTTCGTGGTCAAACATTGCATTGCAGCAGCTCTTAAAGAATCTGTCTTGACCACATATATTTTAAAATTCTACAATAAAATGGGGTAGGGGTTTCTCTTTTATATTTTCCCACTTGGAGCATTATGAGGTGCAGAAATCATTGAAATGGAGTGACAGGCATTTTATCAGTAGTGAAATTCTCTCTTTTCGATCTGTGAGTTGAATTTCTGAATGTTTAAGATTGGCACGTGCGTTGATGCTAACAAAATGACAAGGAACCAAGGACATTGGTTTGTGCGTATGACTTTCCGTTTTGCTTTAATTTGTAATTGTTTGCCAAGCTAACATTATCAGTTCCTTTACTTCATTAACCAACAATGATGCAGTCGTCCTTTATTATGTAAGATTATGTTAATGTACAGTGAATACATACAAGAGACTTTCATTTTCTTGTTAGCTATTTGTACCTTTAAACCTCGTGTGTGTGTGTGTAGATTCTCCACTGGAGTATGTGATGAGCTGATGACAGGAACAGCTTCAGTGATTTCTGAATTATAATGAAGTTAATTTTCATATTTAATGAGTCCTTTGACACCACAGCAGGATACAATTCAAGGGCATAGCCTCCAGATATGGAGTATGTCTGCAGAAATATTCAGTATACAGATCAGGCAACCAAAAAAGGTGATCTGGGGGGGGGGGTTTGCATAATAGACTAATTGCTCGTCATCATAAGAAATTAGCACAATACAAAGAGTTACACAGAGTCTCAAGTGGCCTCTTGTGAATATGGCAGTGAACCCTCAGGTTCTATAAAAGATGGGGAATTTCATGTCTGTTTGACTAACTATTATCCTCTGAAAATTTCTCTGTTCTGTGGAGTTGGTTATGTAATTTTAAAAATGCCTCTTCTGTTTCAATATCACATTGAACTGCACAACTACCACTTTGCAGCTTTAGTATGGACACTGTAAGAACGAAAGCCGTAGGTTCAGTCACTGTCTGTAGCAGTGACCAACACATTAATTGTTAATCTTCGATGACATCTGAAACATAAAGCGAGGCTAAGTAACTAGCATCTTTCTATAGGGTCTTGTCCACCATCTGGTCCAAAGCGTAGCCGTGAAGAAGAAGAGGCACATTCACGACGAGCAGCGGAACGGGAAGGTCGGCGCACTAGGCGTCGCAGAGCTCGGGAAATGAAGATTGGCAGTACTGCCAGACATGCAGATGGGATGTCTAGTGATGATGAGATGACAGAGCTTGAGGCCACAGCCTACCGGAACCAGAAAGGTAAAGTCGGGTTGTCCACTGCATCAAGCTGTCTCAGATGACAAAAGCATTTCCTCGTGGGAAGAAAATAATTAAACGGGTTTATGAAGCGTGAGGTTGCTTAATGTTGTGAGCAGTGATCACAGCTTAGTTCCAAAACAAAGGAGAATTTCTTGATCAGTTGCTTGTCTGCATTCTGTCTGATGCTTAGTGAGGATTTTGGGATGACCTAAAGATTTGAGTCTCCATACTTTTATTACTGTTTCTTGCTGCAAGGGAACAACCGTGGTTAATCAAGAAAGGGAAACATCAAAGTTCTGTGACTTTTACACTTTACCTGCTGTTGGATGAATCAGTCGTCTGGACGTGTCGTTTGAATGCAGGAATCACAACGTATATTCAAAACCTGACAGGGAGGAAAGTAATATTGCACTGGGTTGTGAATTGTGTGATGTGGCAGGCTTTAAAATGTCCCGGTGTTCACAGATACGATGGAGTCCGATGCTCGTCTGGTGTTCTCCGACGTAGTTGACGAGTTCTGTTCGATACGTGGCGTGGCATCACGGTTTGAGAGTTGGCGCACTACAGACTCCGATGCATATCGGGAGGCCTACGTCAGCCTGTTCTTGCCCAAGGTGCTGGGACCACTTGTGCGTCTGAAGATGCTGATGTGGAACCCTTTGCAGGTGAGTGCAGTCACTGAATCCATAGATTTGATTTTTGTGGCAGTGAATATTTGGATTGTGGTCTTCATTATAACCACAGTCCACATTTTCATACGTATCCACTTTGTGCAACGAACCTCACTCTCAAGTTGATGTGGATCATAGTAAGGGCCATGCTACAGATTTGTGATACCTGTCCAGGATGGTTGCGTGGAGTTTGAACGTGCCAAGTGGTATGACACGCTCGTCCTCTATGGTTTGAAGGAGGGTGAGACAGAAGAAGGGCTGAAGCAAGATCCTGACCTGCAACTGGTCCCTATCATTATAGAGAAGGTGCTCATCCCGAAGCTGACTCGTAAGTGTGTCGACCGTCTTTGGTAGTACATGCCTGTATATTGAAAAACTTCCTTTACTCTCAGACTGTTTTCCCCTGAACAAGCTATAAACTTAACAGAAAGCCTGTTATTAATGTGAACTGGCATATTGTGTACAGAGCTGGTAGAGGCAGTCTGGGACCCTATGTCCACATCTCAGACTCTACGTTTGGTGGGGTTG